TGGCTACCTCTTAGACAGGCTGTGAGGCCCTGGAAGTTTGAGGCTCTCCCTCACAACAATGTGGGCAGAACAGCTACACCAGCCAGAGGATAGTGTTGTACCTTCCTTCTCTGGGGTGTATGTGTGCTGAGAACCGTGAAGGAGAAGCATCATGGGATGAAATGGGAACTCCATGTCCACCCCTGCTTGACACTGTCCAACCACACACAGATAGTTTGTGACTTTCAGGCTGCATGCCTGACTCTAGGGAACAAATGGGATTGAGCTGCTTCTGGCTAGATTAGAGACTGATTTAGTGTGCAGGGATCCCAAGGCCAGCATGTGAGGAGGAAGGGGAGAGAGAGAAGTCAGCTACCCACAGAGAGACCAGCTGAGATGGGCTATGTTGGTACGATTCCAGCCTTGAGATCACAGCTTGAGGGCAGAACTGATGGATGAGCTTGGATCTCTACAGAAATTATCCCAGAGAATAGGACGCAGCCCTGACCAAGTGAGGAGGACGGGAGGCCTCTGCATCCCTGCCCGTCAAGATGACTATCTGCTCTACGTAGTAATCAGAAGGAATAGAATCCAAGTAAAGCAAAAACGTCAAGTCCTTCATCTCATAACCACATCCCAAGGGCTCGGATGGAACAGAGGGTGTTGCGCAGCTCTTTTCCTGAGTTGAAATCCCTCCCTTTGGGAGGGAGGTGGGTGGTTCCTAAGATCAGGAAGCTTAAGAAAACTTACTGAGTTCAGCAAGTTATGAGTGCCCCCCCCCCCCAGTTATATATGCATGCGATAAACCCTTGTTGGAGAAGATAGACTTTCACAGAGCTGCCTGAAAGTTGCCTGAAAGTTGGGCAGGGCGCTCCAGGGGTGCAGCTTTAATGAGCATCACCCATGTACTTTTCAGGGATGCAGCTTCCTTTGAATCAATTATACTTCTGTAAGTAACCCCAATGATCTCACTGGTCACCAAGCTAGATTTGAGTAGTCTCCTTGTTCATATCTGCCCAGGAGAAATCACACAACATATGGCCAAGACTAAGACATTTCTGCCATCCAGAAAGTTCTGTTTAAATCTAAACTGTTGTGCTGGTATTTGTATATTGATTTCGTGCTGAAATAATTTCTGCTATATCGAGTTAAATAAGATAATATCAACACCAACTTCATCTATTTTTACACATGTACACACAAGTACACCCCTAATAGGTAATAGGAAATTGAAAATTAATCAGTATACCATATTCCCATTGATCCCTATTGCCTGTTATACATGGGTACAGAAGCACACCTTCATTCAGCCATCTTTTAATAGCACATCCACTCAATGGTATTTGGTTCTATGATGGCTTGAAAACACTTGACAGTGACAGAGGCAGCCCCAGATAACAGCACAATTGCAACTTTGAGGAGAGAAAAGGCCAGGTTCAGATATCGGCTATATCTTTCTATTACAGTGGTTCTCAACCTTCCTAAGGCTGCAACCCTTTAATACAGCTCCTCATGCTGTGGTGACCTCCCCCCAACCTTAAAATTATTTCATTACTACTTCATAACTAACTTTGCTACTGTTATGAATCATAATGTAAATCTCTGATCTGCAGGATGTCTGCTATGCGGCCCCCAAGGGGTTACAACCCACGGGTTGAAAACTACAGCTCTGTTAGCTTGTGAACCTGGGCCATGTACACGGTTTTCTTATTTGAAAAGTGTACACAGTGCTAGTCTGGTCACAGAGCACTGTTGGAATGACTTGGGGGTGGTGCATGTGCTATGCCTGGGGGTCCTGGCCCCTCGTCAGCCTTAGTGAATGGCAGCTAAGGTTATCATTAGACCGCGTCAGTCTGGGTACAAGAGTGGTCAGGTTTCTTGTCCTCAGACTCCTCCCCATCTTTTCTGCAGCCTTCAGCATCCCCTCTCAGGGTTCCAGCAAGCCTTTAGAGGCACAGCTGGAGGACTTACCTGCTGGTAGCTGCTGGCCCAGGAGGCTCGAAGGGCATCCCAGCCTCCAGAGCGCTTGGCCTTGCTCTCCAGGTGAGCCCGTAGTTGTGTTTCCAGCTCCTGGCTGACTTGCTCCAGAGCGTGCACCTTGGTCATATATTCCACTAGACAGCCCCCCAGGTTTTCAGCAGCAGTGTGATCCCTTTCTGCATCTGGAGCAGGCACAGTGGCAAGGCTTGAGCTCCGTAGGCCCTGCAGGAAGACACTGCTGATGCCTAGGGCCCGGCGGGTTACTCGGGCACTGAGGCCACCTATACACCCACTGGGTGCTACTCCTACATAGACTCCGGGTGCACGGATGAGGCTACCCACAGCACTGGTCCTAGAGGCTGGAGGGCTCTCAAGGGAGGATGGAGATCGTGTCCCCCTGAGGGACCTTCTGTGCCTCTGCAGGGGCATGCTGGAGTTGGCTCCAGGGGGCAAGTCCACTGCCCTTCTCCTCTCGCTCATCATTCTCTCTGCCTCTGTGGTGCCCAGCAGGTTTACAGGGTCCAGTGGCTTTGGTTGCTAGCCCCAGCATCCCCATGGCCTGGTCATGGGCCTCTCTGGAAGCTCCCCTGTTCTTTGTCTACTGCCTTCCACGAGCTTCTGTCATTCATTGAGCTGGAAGAGAACCACCCCACCAGCCTGTGAGGCACCCAGGCATTCTCTGATACTAGGTCATGTGCCCAACCTCTAGACTTTTCTGTTGGCGGGGGAGGGTGCTGGAGCAGAGCAGGCTGTGGGAATGAATCATCTAGATTTGCCTTTTATTTTAGACAGGGTCTCAGAGGTTGGCCTCAAAATCCATATGTAGCCAGGATGACCTTGAACTTCTGATATTCCTCTAATTCCTGCGATAGAATCCAGGATCTCACACATACTAGGTGCATACACTTGGGTTTGTGTGTCTTGCTGCCATTGAGAGGGGCAGGGAGGCAACAAGCAGTTCTGTTTCACTGGTGAGGAAAACAGGCTTGAGGACCTTAGATGGCACGTGTACCGATCGCCTCCTCCAGATCTCACGACACAAGCCGGGGACTCGGGGGCTTTCCGCATACTTTCTTATGCTGAGGTAGGGGTGTGTGTGTGTACATCCACACAGGATCAGAGGACAGACATGGATGTGAGCCAGTCATGGAGGAAGGCCGGCCCAGAGACCCAAGGGACACAAAACAAGCCTGCCGCTATCTTCTTCCCTCAGGCCTGGCAGCTCTTCCAGCCCTCCAACTTCTCTCTCCCTCCTCCTCACGTCTGCCCTCTGACACACTGCTTGTCAGCTGCTGGCCCTCAGCCATGTTTCTCCTCCTCTAGACCTTGCTGTACATCTGCCTGATTGCTAACTCTGACACATCAGACGCTCTGGAGCCAGTTTAGCACTGGAGCTGCTGGGCAGCCATTTGTTAGGCTCTGGACCCTTTCCCACCTCTGTCTCCCCTTTAACAAGACCAGGAAGCAAAGACAACAAAGCAATTTCTGGAAAGCACCCATGGGTGCTACATGTTAGGGTTTGCTGGGCACCCCAGGTTTTAATCCTTGCCCTTGGCAGGCTCCAAGTCACACTTTCCTTCTTGGGGAGCTAACATGGTCCCTCCAGCTTGGGCATGTGCGGAGGTTTTTTGAAACTAGGAATCCCAGATCTAGAGATAGACATAGTTCTTGATTCTGTAATGTGAGGATGGAACCCAGGCAAGAGAAGGGACCAGGAGTCAACTTCTGATAGGTACAGAGTACACTCCAATTCTGAGCACAATTCCACACGCTCTATCTCACTGACTTTTCCATCCAACTTTAGAAGGTAGGAAACTCTCGCGTTGACAAGTACTGCTGTTTGGGTGCATACTGTATGATTCCAGAAGTATTACCTCAAAGATACTATTACGTCCCTCTGTGGCAAAAGGCCGAGAGCCCATGTCCAGAAGACAGCAGAGCCGCTCTGCTCTGGAGACTTACATAAGGTTGTCTCTAGCACCTACTACTTGCCAGGGTCACAGGTCCTACTCATCTGCTAGAGCAGTCTGTGGACTTCTCTGTCCATGAAGCTTTCAACCTTCCCTCTTCCACCTCATTCACTTGAGACGATGTAGGAAGCCCTTTGTTAGTTTTGTATGCACATGTGGAGGCCAGAGATCAAATTTAGGGCTGTCCTTGGGGGCTATCCACTTTACTTTTTCAGACAGGGTCTCTTATTGGCCTGGAACCCACCAATTAGCCTAGACTTGCTGGTCAGTGAGCCCCGGGGATCTGCTTGGCTCTGCCTCCCTAGTGCTGGGAATAGAAGCACACGTCAGCACACCCAGGTATTTTACGTAGGTTCTGGGGATCAAACTTGGATCTTCATGATTGTAAGGCACTTAACTGAGGACCACCTCCCAGGAGATACTTCATTAAATATCAGTGTTGATTATTTGATAAACCGATTAAGGAGCCAATTGAGTCAAGCAAAGGGCAGTAGCTTATAGGCCTTAGCTCATATGGGTGTGGCACTCTTCCTATGAATACCATCTCTGCCACTCCCATGGTGCCGTGGTAACAGCCTCCTAATCCAGGCGGTACTGCTGGGTCCCATGGAGCTGCATTTCAGTCAGCTCTGGATAAATTGTCTAAGGCTAAAGGAAGCTCAGGCTACCTGTAAAGGTGTTATGTGGCCCAGGTACTGTTACTGCCTGGGAATGGAAGTGATCAGTGGTTTTGGACACTCTTAGACCCAAAGGCATTTTTATTTCAAATCTACACAGTCCCCTGGAGATGGGGACAGGTAAAGGAAGGCAGCTCAATGGATCCCAATGTTTGGAAGATCAGAAGAGAGTGAACTCTCCCTTAGAAAAACTACCCTCTTGTTCTAAAAGAGAAGTTTTACCAAACATTTTGGTGGCCCTGTAAACTCATCACAGTTGTGAAATTCAATATAATAATAGATAAAAAATTACACATGGAAATAGGATGGTTATGGGTACCATTGAAGGGGAGACTCAAAGGTTATTATAAAAAGAATGCAAAATGTATTAGCAACTTGCTCCTCTGGGTAATAAAATAAGTTTATTTATATATACATGGTAGCTGAATTCTGTGGATACGGAAAAATAAGTCATACATCCACAAATGTATATATAACATATGTATCTTTGACATATATTATATATAAATTTTACTTTACAAACAAGTTTTCTCTATACATACTCACACACATTGGCATAGTCAATGCAATAGCTAACAGAAATATTATGATAAGGTTAAGGTCAGACAGCAACACGTGAGAGAGTGAGTCTCGGCACGACATTTAACCTGCTGCGCTTGTGGGATGAAGTCTTTGAAAAGAGACAAGCAGACTCATGTTCAGTAGGTCCACACAACATTGAGGACACATGTTAATTCTGAAGGCCGCCTCTCTGTCTGAAAGGAGAAGGGAGGAGGAGAGGAAGTCGTGGAAAGAAGACCACAGCAACAACACAGACATCGAAATCAACAGTCAGTTCAAGTCCCAATCTGACAATAAGAACATCTATATTCAAAATATACTATCAAACTATTTTTCTTTTAAGGGGGCATTGAAGAAGTTGGATTTCTAGCCACGGTGGGCTAGGAAGGGAAGAGAGAAAGCGGCTGTCTCCCATGGCCCCTCCGGGTCTCTGAGGGTCTGCTCCCTATTGACCACACTGGGCACAGTGTGAGCTGGGAATGCAGTTGGACCTGGACCAGGGGACGCAAGAGCCGGGAGGCAGGGGACAGTGAAAGCTGATAGCAAGTTCATGGGCAGGTCTGCAGCGCTTCTGCCTGTAGACAGAATGGCACTTCTCTCGAGCGATTCATTTGGCAATCTTTTTCTTTAAAGATTTAATGGAAAAGGTTAAAAAAAAAATAGTTCTACACCAGGCTTTTTTATAGACTGGTTTCTCAGGGGGCATAACATCATTGCCTTCAGAGAGAGCAATACAGAATCTCAACAAATACTTGTCCCTTGAACAGGGAAGATCAAGTGTGGCACAGCCCCAAGGCTGGTCTCTGCATCCATCCTCCCAGGAAGAGAGGCATAGGGTCCAGGGCGAGGGGGAGGCATTGGAAAGGGATGCAGGGAAGGGTTTCTAGGGAGCACTTTCTTGCTAAACAAACGCAGTCCCGTTTGTTCTAGCAGGGTGGGAGCACCCTGTGGGGTGATATAAGGGGCCTTGGAACTCCATGATGCCTTGATGTCTCCCATAGATCCATTATAACTTGACATTCAGAGATGGCACCGTGAGACTTCAGGGTGGCTAGTTCCCTTCTGTTTTGTACGCTTGCCTGTGTCTTCTGCTTTGGCTCCCCAGTTCCCGCCACTAGTATACACACATGGAGACAGGAAATGCAGACATATTGAGTCAAGGGAACCAAAGCTTCAGGGACACACATGGGACCACTTACTTGGCCATCAAGTCATTCAGCTTCCATGGGGGGATTGGTCTCTTTCCTCACCTGCCCAGGGCTCCTGGGACCCCTATGTGCCCAGAACAGCCAAGAGAAGCAATCAGTGCAACTGCTTTGCTTAGAAATACCTTTATTTTATAAAGCCATGGGTCATTCTGTAAATTTTTTTTTTAAACCACACTTGTAAAAAAGATGTTGACAATTCTTAAGAAAAAAAGCTGAAAATGTTTCTTATTAAGTCAGGGTTACACAAAGATTATATTTATAATATATATATTTGTATATTTATAATTTAGAGACAAAAAATAGGGAGTGGCAACACAGAGGCTGCTGCATCTAGATCTCAGAAACTTGATCCGTTCCCACAAACAGTGTTTCCTGGCAGAAGGGGTTCACAAGGACCATCCCAGTGTCTCGATAGTCTCCATTGGCTGGGGAGCGGGGCTCGGAGAGCTGGTCCTGGGGAGAGAGCAAGGAAGATGGTGTGAGCTGGGGATGGAATGAGGGCTGATTGCTCTCCGAGAAATGCACAGGAATAGACAGGTGTGGTAGCACACATAACCCCAGCACTCCAGAGGATTGTAAGTTCAAGGCCAGCCTGAGCTCAACAAATCAGGCAAGTAAGCACACAATAAGAAAATAAACACACATATGCACAGGTACACATGCATGTGCATCACACACACACACACACACACACACACACACACACACACACTCACACACTCCTTACTGTCTTAGTGAGCAACAACCGGGTTGATGTCCTTGGACTCCAGACTTTACTTCCTGCCTATTCCTCATGAAAATTCACAACTCCCCCCCCCCCCAAATACAACTATGGGTACCACCCATGCTACACTTCACTTACAGGTCCACCAGTCTTCAGAGCCCAGTTCAGCCCTCCACTTAAGCCCGGCCCCCTCAGACGTGGACAGACCCCATCTCTGTGTAGCAGTGCCCTATGTGGTAAATGAAAACAAAGAACAATACCCCTCACTCCCTACTCTCAACCTGTCTGCTAAGCCCCAGGGTGGAAAAGCTTTTAAATAGGCCCTCATGCCGCTCAGAAGGGACTCGAGTTTACGAGGCTTCGACAGGGTTTCCATCTCAGCTACCAGGGACTACAAACACTTGTGGGCTACTAATGGCACTTCCTGGATCCTCAGATATTAACTTAGGGAAAAGACAGACCAGCAAGCACCTGAGTAAATGTCAAACCACCAAAGTCTTAGAATGTCCAGGAATGTCCAGGCCATTTCAAGGCAAGTGAACTCACAGTGCAGCAACAAGCCTGTGTATGCTGACCCGGGCTAGACTTCTCAGGAACAGCTTTGGTTATGAAGCCACAGTTTATTTAAACACAACAGACAAAAGACAGTTCCTGAGGAGGAGCACTGGCTGCTTTAGTGGGTGGTCGGGAGAAGAGGAAACTGGGTTGTTGAGAAAATGTCTTTTCAGGAGACAGGCATGCCCCTCAAGAGCTGACTGGCCATGTCCCACCAGAAGGGTGCATAGAAGCCTGGCTCTTCTCACCAGAGGAGAGAAGTCCTTTTCTGTGCTCTTGGGCTGAGCTGTGAGGGGTTTGGGAGGTTGAAATCTGGCTTGTATCGCTTTACAGTTTTAATGGGGCAAGTATGGACCAGTGGTGAATCTGGATAGGGGATGTATGGGGGGTACTACATGAAAAAAGGAAGGTATTTAGGAAGTAACCAAGACGTAAAGGGGGAAGGGGAGCAGGAAGGAAAGGGAGAGAGGAAAAGGATGAAAAACCAGAAAAGTAGTCAAGCTCCCTTGGGCACTGTGATCTGCCATTCTAGTGTGTAGCTACTTTATCATCAAAGCAGGATGGGAGTCAGGCACAGGTGCTTTCTGGATGCATCTGGATGGCAGGTGCATGCCTGAGGATGTAGAAAGTAATCATCCTATGGTCTACAGGGCATGGATGGCCCCAGCAGCTTCTATCCTGGCTCCGAGTGACCTATATTTTGACCGCACACAGCATAAGTTTTGTGCATTGGAACAGTTCATAGTCCTTTCAGAAACATAGCAGAACCAAAGTAGACTGGGGGGGGCTGGGGGTGGGGGGCAAGGGCACACTCTGAAGCCAAACCTGGCATACTTCTTGTGTGGTTTTTGTGGTGCCTTCTGTTTGTGAGACTGGCCAGGCGGCCCTTCTGCTGGGAGTCCCCTGGCCTGGTGCTGACTTTAGATCAGGAGCCCCAGCTCCCATTCCCCTCAGTCCTACAAGTGGGACTTTTCTACAGTATGTTCATGGGTTCTGCTCTTCAGTGGTCACTTCCTCATTTGCAGAGAAAAATATAAGAAATTTAAGCTTCACAGCCCAGATTCAAACCTTTCTCAAATTTTCCACTTACTGTAAGAAAAATGCGCGCTGGCCTCTCACCTAAATGAAGACCCTTCACGAAGCCTGTCTTGCTACCGGCTCTTTGATTATTATCTTTTATTGAGTAACTACTGTGGTAGGCTCTGAACCGAGTAGGGTGGGTCATGGTGGTCTTTTTCACGCATGGTTCATTCATCTATTGTATGTTTGCTGCAGACCACCATGGGCTAGGCCAGGCACAGGTCTAGATGCTGGGAACGGAGGGAGGAAGGAGTTCAACAAACAAGGTTCTTCCCCTAGGGCCCTCCTGTATTTCACAAGGAGAGGAAGATAAACGTGTCCACAGAGCCCTAGCCTGCAATGCTCCTGGTGAGCAGGACTATAAGGAGAAGGCAAGCAGGGATGGGGAAGAGTATGAGGGCGTGGCTCTAAATGGGTTTAGGGCAGAAGGGCTCCTTAGAGAGACCTGCAGGAAGTGATATAGGCATTAGGGGCAGAGGTCCAGGTAAGCTTAAGAGCAGAGCTCTTGTGGGTCATGGGCTTTCTGTGCAGAGCAAAGACCCCAGGAGGGTTGGAGAGACTGGGGATTAGTAGGGGGCTGTGAGACCAGCTCATGAAGGGACTGGAAAGAGGAACTGGGCTTTTTTGTGTGTGTGTGTATGCGCATGTACACATATGTACATGTGTATAGTCAACCTGGGTTGTGTAAGAAGTCAGCTGCAGGTGGTGGTTCACAGGAGTCAGCTCGAAACAGGATCTTTCACTGGGAACTGGGAGCTTGATGATTAGACTAGGCTGGCTGGCCAGGAAGTCCCAGGAATCCTATCTCCACTGGCCAAGTGTAGGCAAGCTTGTACATCACCACACTGGGATTTTCACATGGGCTCTAGAGACCTCTCCCTCTCTCTTCCTCCTCCTCCCCTCCCACTCTCTTTCTCTCCCAACCTGTCATTGTATGTGTGTGTTGTGTCTCCTGCAGCCCATGCTGACCTTGAACTCCCTAAGTAGCTAAGTAGCTTGGACTTCTGCTCTTCCTACCTCTGCCACCCCAGTGCTGGGACCACAGGTGTGCATCACTACACCCAACCTTAGCTCCTTGATACTGTGCAGAGAGGAGTCACTCGGGAGCTGGGATCCATGGCTAATGGGGTCATGCTTTTGAGAGGTCATCTGGCTCCCATGTGGTGTCTGTCCTCCTCTACTGCCAGAGGCGTGAGGGGATGGAAGATTGCTCTCCTAGCCACCTGCAGCCATCAGAGTGTGAGAGAGGAGAGGGCCGTGTGCAGGAATGAGAGCAGCTTAGGAAGAACCGACAGACTCTGCCAACAGACATGCTGAGAGCATGCAAGATTGCGCTGGGGGAACCAGCAGTGTCGTGTATGCCACTAGGAACACCAGGTGAGCTTGAGGCTGGGGCCAGGAGTGGGTCAATGAGTTTGAGACTCAGTGAGGCTGCTATGTGGCTGAGTTCAGGGGAGTCATTAGAGCTGCAGACGAGAAATGTGGTACTGGTGCTCCAGCAATAGCAATTACGTCATACACCTAAGACAAGAGGAGCCATGGTAGCTGAGCCTTGGAACTCAGCAATGAGCGGTGTGATAGCCAAGAATATTCCCAAATTGAGAAGGAGCTGCCAGGGGTAGGGACTGCAAGCAGGTGGCCCAAGGAAGGGGGCGCATGATACTGAGTTAACATCAGACTGGCAGTCACAGAGTAAATACCAGGATGGGAAAGTGGGGGGGGGGGCGCTGATGCTCCGGCAAGAGGGCCACATCCAGCCTGGCAGGTTACAGAGACTCGCACAGCGGTGCTGGGAAAGTGGGTTAGAGGGCGAGCTGGGTGCTCCCTTCGTCAGCACATACACTAAAACTGGAACAATGCAGAGACGATTAGCATGGCTCCCATGCAAGAAAAAAAAAAGGGTGGTCCATGGGGGGAGAGAAGACTGTAGGAGAGGGGACAGTTCACACACACAGACCTGTGAGGGGTGCCACGGAGGAAGGAAATGTCCAGCATGGATGGGTGGAGCTTGCTAAATGAGGAAGAAAGGGGCAGGCATCCTGTGAGGCTAGAAAGTTGGCTGCTGGGGTGGTGAGGGCTTGGGAGGGGCTGGTCTCCCTCAGGTCACCTAAAACCCTTAATCCTTAAGTGGGGAGCTCAGCTGGGTTTTGAACAAGGGAACAATGTGGCTGTATTCCATTACTGCAGCTCATGTAAGGCCCAAGAAGGGAGGTGCAAGATACACTGTCACAGCAACTCAGCTCGGCTGCCCCCCATCTCTCTCCTGAACCATCTCCAAGGCATCTGTCTTCCTTTGCCGGCCTTACCTAGCAAAACCCAAACCCTCCCTGTGCCTCTTGGGAGGCTTTCTCCCCTGCGTTTCATCTGTTACTATTCTTAATTTGGTTTGATTTTGAATGACACCAAGCTTCATCTCCCAGCCACAGCTCAGAATTGGAAGTCCCCAGAGAGCATACATTCATCTTCGCCGTCCCCAGAGACTGCTGCCACAAAACATTTCCTCAGTAAACATTGGTCACTTATTCCCAGACTGACAACCGTTTCCCCAGACTTTGGTGTGCAGAAATTACCCCTGGATCTTGCTTCAGAATCAGTCCCCAAGTTCGGTTGGGCTGGGGCAGGAGGAGAAGCTCCTGGCCCACAGAGCATTGCGGAGGACTGGGACTCAGGGCTGAGCAGGTACTCTCTCTGTGGAGAGTGACCGTGGAGGTGTGGGGCTGTTACCTCTGAGGTCTCCAGGGACTGGATCTCCCTTGGGAGCTCCACTGCATGCCGGTTGAAGTAGTCCATGGTGATAGCATTGTTCCAGTAGCTCAGGTTATTCTCGGGGTTGGCCGTCTTCTTCCTCCTCCTCATGCAGCACACTGTCAACAGGACGGCTGTGGAGAGAGTTCCAGTCAGAGAACAGGGTTGGGAGAGACAAGTGCCTAAGCCCCAGCGGGGTGCAGAGGAGGTGTTACTGTCCCCAGCTACTTAGTGCATTCAATCATTTAAAAGAATAGACTTCTCTATCCCAGGCTGGCCTTGAGCCCACTGTGTAATGACGCTGGCCTTCAATCTCTGATCCTTTCGAGTTCTGCGATCACAGGTCTGTGTCACCATGCCTGGTTTAAGTAGAGCTGGGGACTGAAACCAGGGCTTTGTGCATGTAAGACAAGCCCTCCAACAACTGCGCTAGCCTTCACTTACTTAGCTGATTTTTCAACCTCTACCTTTTTGTTGAGTACCTACTGTGTGCTAGAAACTGTTAATAGTCGCCACTGTTTTCCTAAGCATTCATTCTATCGTGTGCTTGCAGAAGAGGCTAGATGATACATAGGTAAGAAGACCAATCAGGTGGTTTCAATATGGATGACTACCCAGTGAAGACAAAATGGCCAAGTGAGAGAGGCTGATTTAGTCCCAGTGATGGCCTCATAGCAAGGGAACTGGCATCACAGGGAGGAGTTAGCCACATGCAGAATGGGCAGTGTGTTCTAGGATTGGGGACCTGCATGTGCAAAGAAGGGACCAAAGTGTGGACAGTCCAGGTGTGTGTGAGAAAAGGAGCAATATGGCAGGGAGTGTGTGGGGAGGTAGAGGGGAAGCCAGGGCAGGGTTGAGAGGTGTACCTCCGGGCTTGGGGCAGGGAGGCTGCATGCATTTGGCAGACACTCATGGTTGCTGCAATGCTGCAGTGTATCAAGCAAGGGCTTTGTTCATCTGGTGGACAGCTCCCCAGCACCTGCCGCAAAGACCAGCGTGCCTGTTCAGGGCCCCACTCTTTGGGAAGACAGCAGCCGAAGCAGGAGGATGACAGATGCATTAGACAACCCCCCAGGCTCATTTAAAAAGATGTGTACACGCAGTCATAGAGGTTTTACATTTCAGGGACATTATCGATATTGATTGCTTTAAATTTTCCTTCTGACCTCAAAGAGTCAATGTGAAGAGTCCTATCTGAAAAGTATGAACAGTGGTAATTTTATCGATAGGCTTAAGAGCAAATCTGGATGTGAGGACTCGGAAGTTTCTGGTCTTTAACACCTGGGCTCACCCTGCTGAGGGGACAGCAGCACAGCTCTTCTCAGGTTGCCCTCACGCCGTGTGACATGTGACCCCTGGCTGTTCAGTATCTGAGACAAGAGTCCTGGAGGAAGGCGTGTGCATGGGCTCTGTTGATGAACCAGGTGCAAACAGTGGCTTTGGTACGGTCCAAAGGAGCATCTGAGGTTGAAGAGGTGGGGTGCCTTGTCCAGACTCACACAGCAGAATGGTGGTATATCATGGGGGGGGCAACTACGGAGGGGGTAAGTGTGTACTGCCTAGGTTCACCAGCACCAGAACCTTCCACAGCGAAGGGGAAGAGTCAGGGCTGTATGTACTTGACCGACATCCTGAAGGTGCCCGGCACCTCAGTGTCTGGGAATGGGGGCTCAGGCTGCTCTGTTCAGAGGCCAGCACCAGGGGGCAGCAGAGGGCCAGCTCCCTCGGAAAGTCCAGGGGTTTGAGCGATGTAGCCCTGAGCACACTGTCAGGATGCAGGGCAGCTGCAGAAGCTGGCGCATATGTGAGCTGAGATCTCAGAGCCCAGGCTCCAGCCCTAGGGGCTCCCTGGAACATTCTGACACTTTCCTCCCCACCACTGGCCCTCTGGAGATCATCTCTAAACAAGGTCAGGAGGCAGCTTCCATTTCCATTTTGTCACATCTGCTTTGGACAGAAGGACTTCCTTCCTATTTGCTAGGCCGGCCTCTAAAGTGTCTTGAGAAGCCCTGGCACATGGAGGGGACTTCTGAATGGGATCATGGGGACTCAGACACTGGCTGGCATCAGATTGTTCGAGTTTTGTGGATCTGTCTTTCCCCTGAATCCTTCTGAAGCCCTTTCTTCACTGCTTGAAGGAAGGGGCAGAGGCACTGCAAAGCCCAATGTGGAAACAGCACAGTTAGGCCACCTTTTCATTCTGCTGGGAGACACCATGGTCTGAAGAACACAGCTGGCTGTCACGGGGCCCTTTCCTCCCTTTTTGTTACCTTTATCCCCTCATAGCCCAGTCTCTGCCTCTTGAAACATCAAGAAGGAAGCAGTCAGGGCAATTCACGCTAGTAAAGCCAACTCCCTACAGAAATAGGAACATTCAGAAGCGAGGACAGAGGTTTTCTCAGCTCTGTAGAACCTGGAGCCCCCCGGGAAGTGGGGAGCTGGCAGGGACAAACAGCCACTTTTCTCTTGCTGGCCTATGAGGACATCTGACATCACATCACACACTTCAGTGCCAAAGTCTGCAAACGGGTGACAATGTCCTCAAAAGCCACGTCTCTGTGGAAGGGGGGCATCTGTGCCTTGGACCCACAGGCAAGCGAGCAATATCAAAGTGGCAGAGACGGCCTTTGAGACTCCCAGTCCTGGGGCGAGAGGGATGTGGGATTTAGAACCCTGACATTAACACAATGCTCACAAACCTGAGTAAGTCATTCGACCTCTTGCTCTCTGTTCAGTCCACATGCACCTCCTGCATGCAGCAGAATTCTGCCCAGTATCTGGTGATTTTTTTCCCCCTCTGTTATTCTTAGTCTGAAAAGCAGGGAGTCGAAATCCAGAGAGATGAACTTCCCAAGGCCATGCTGCCGAGCTGGCTGAGCATGCTCACTGCTGTTATGGAGTATCACTTGAAGGTTGTTACATTTGTTTATGTATTTTTTTTTAACTCTGTGAAGCTGTGTTACTTTGCTTGCCTAAAACACCTGATTGTTTAATAAAGAGGTGAAAGGCCAATAGCCAGGCAGGAGAGAAAAATAAGTGGGACTGGCAGGCAGAGAGAGAAAAAAAATGAGAAATCTGGGAAGAGGAGATCAAGGAGCAAGAAAAGGAGAGGAGGACACCAGGGGCCAGCCACCCAGCTACACAGCCAGCCACAGAGTCAGAAGGAAAGAAAGGTATATAGAATGGAGAAGGATGAAAGCCCAGAGGCAAAAGGTAGACGGGATAATTTAAGAAAAGCCAGCAAGAAATAAGCCAAGTTAAGACTGGGCGTTTATAAGTAATAATAAGCTTCCTCTGTGTATTTATTTGGGAGCTGGGTGGTGGGCCCCCTCAAAGAGTAAAGAGTAGAAATAACCAACTACACATTGCTGTGTCTAGGATGCCAGACTGCAGCTGCCTCTGAAGCCTGTCTGTGCAAAGTGTAGCAATCCTGTCTGTGGGAGGTGTGGTGGCCTCTGTTTCTCAGGAACCTTCTACAGGAGAGCTGTAGACAGAATGCGCTGGGCTCCAGGAGTCAGGGGCAAGGCTAATACTCTAGCTCTGCTTGGAACTTCTAGGTCAGTGGTCTAGCCTTTTTTATACAAGAGAGGAAAGTACAGCTGGGACTTCAGTAGTCTAATACGCACTCGGCACTATGGAGTTTACAGGCCTCTTCAACCCACGCCATCAGGGAAGAGTAACTGAAGGCCCCTGAAGTTAACGTTGACCGAGACCACACACCTTGAACCCGGTTTTGGTAAACTTCAAGTAGATGCTTATTGTCTGTCTACTATACACTAGAGAAACACACAGTGTGGCCTTAGAAGTCCTTTGTAAGCTAGGCAGTGAACACAGGGTGTGAGCCATGTATCCATTTAGCCAAAGAACCAACCGCTTCATGTCTCCAAAAGCGACAGACACAAAGACTCTACAGGGAATGAGTGGGGCTCCTCTGTCCTGCCGTTCTGGAACAGCCCTGAGAGTGAAGCAAGCTCTCTTGGCTTCCCCAGGAACATTCTGGGACAGGAAGAAGAGTCACTGGTATAAAGTTTGAGCCCTGGGTACTGGGTTCACGTGACAGGACCTTGTGGGTGATAAGCCATGGTAATCCAAGCCCACAGGTGCCCCAGGAGACCCATCCTTTTCCAATACCTGCTGAATTGCCAGATGCTGGGCCTGTTGGAACATGCACTGTAAATCCCCAGGAGGCGAAAAACAGCCACCCCTCCACACTGCCATTTCTTGAGCATCTTCCCCACCAGACTCTTAAGTGCATGCATGGTCCAGATTTTCATGGGGCCTGGAGGTGGCATTACAAGTGTGGAAAAGCCCTGCCCACATTCTACTGCCCCTCCAGATTCACCAACATCCCTGTGTCTAGGCCATGATTCCCAGATACCTACATCATGACTGACTATGGCAGGGGTACAGAGCATGCTCAGTCCCTTAGGGTCCCTCTACAGCTCCAGGCCTCCCATTGGCCCAGGAGAAACACTCTCAGATGGACCAGCCTCATTATTTCCCATGGCATGAGGCCTGTATTGCTGCATATGGTTTGTCTTGCTTGCTCTAGCTCTTCCTGGGTGTTTTATAGTTGTACTGCCTTGCAAGCCTGATTCCATCTTGGTGCCTCCCTCTTAGAGGGACCTGAACGAATGCAGCAGACACCTCCTTCGACCTACGTTCTGGTGCTTTCTCTTCTCTTGGATAAGTAAGTCCACAGCAAAGAGAGGTAAGAGCTGGGTGTGTGGGCAGGTGTGTTTGATTCCACAAGCCATTTTTAGGGCTGCAGGGCACTCCATAAAGTACTTGCGTGGCTGCAGACGGGGCCTGGGATGGGTTTCAGCTCCTGTGCCCTGGATATAAGCCCATAAGCCCAAGGAAACTTGTGGCTTAGTGTCTGGCTCCTTATCCTGACATGTGGGAACTGGGTGTTTAGAAGTCTAGCAGGGGACACTACCTTGAAGCCCAGAGGTAGCTATTTTATCTTGACAGGGTTATGGGCAGGATGGCAATCCATGGACAACCCTGCCTTGCTGTAGCCACCTCTGTACCTTCTCCCATTGGTCCACCATCAAAAGGAGACCAGGAACCCAGCCACACTTCCTTTGGGTCAGTCTTCTCTGCTGCTTGGTAAGAATCAATTTAACCCAAGTTTTCTTAAACGGTAATGACAAAGCCATTAGGTTCTGCAAGTAAACATTCTCTCTCTCTCTCTCTCTCACACACACACACACTGCACATATAGGTATATGGCTGAGTATTGTTAACATTCATTGAGCAACAAACACAGCAAAGAATCATGGTCCCTATAACATGTCACCCTTGGGATATTACACAAATGGCCCAGAGTCTAGAAGAAGCCCTGTTTGGGGGCAAGGTGCATTGCTAAGGTCAGGAAGCGGCTCTCCTTGGCCCTGTCAGGTTGAACTTGGATTGGTGATGCAGCATGCCTGCAGTGTCCCTGACTTCTTTAGCTAATCCTCCCCAAAGCTCCAGCCTTCTCGTGAGGGTGGCTGGGAGACAGGCCAGGAAGCTCAGCGGAGCCTCCAGAGGGTTCTGTGACAGCTCAGAGCACCTACTGGTGAGCAGTGACGGATGGCAGGCCAGAGGCTGCCGACAGGAGGCTGCGTGTTCTATGCATCCTCATGGTGGCAGCAGAGACCTGCGTAGCAGCCACAGGGCTCCTGGCCCTGGTTCGCAGTGGCCTGGAGCCAATCAATTTCAGGTCTCAGCACATCTGAAACAGAGTTGGCAGAGAGTGTCTGGCAGGGCTCAGGAGACAAAGCACTTCTCAACCCTGGCACACGGGTGCCCTTCCAGCCACTGGGAGGGCTTGTGATGGGGAAGGCGGGTGAGTTGCTGACCCTGCATCCATGTGCAGGCTCAGAATTCGCTCTTCTCATCACTGACTTCCACTAGAACCAGGGGAAATCACCCTAAGACAAACAAGCATGGGGTGGAGAAAGCACAGCTACGGTCAAGTCCCCACTGCTCCGCACAACCTGGCTTGTCTCCTAGCCCCTTCGCTAGAGGCGATAAAGTCTACATTCACACTTTGATACCAGCCAGATTGCCGGGAATACTTGACAGTCTGGCAAGGGATGGGATCCACTGTGGGGTACAAAGACAGTAGGGAAGGTTGGAACCATGGGTCTTGAGGAGGAGCTCAGCTTGTGTGGTCCCTAGATAGGTAGGGCAGGACTATGGAAACATCCCAGACAGGTATTTCTGTGAGCAGCACCTAGGGCTCTGAGACTGGACAGGTACTCTAAATATTCCCTGGTTCTGGTCAAGGATTGCCCATAGGACACAGGGTTGATGTAGAGGTGGCCAGGACCCAGGTAGGAGTGAGGGACTGACTCCCTGCGCAAATGCAGAAACGCCAAGAAAGTAGGCCCTGCTGTCTTTCACAATCAGGAGGCTAAGAAAGTCCAGCATGAGCAAAATCAGCTCTTAGAAAGGGTGTCCTACCCCCGCCCCCCAGAACCTGAAGGCTGCTCTTGTAGCTCTGAATTCTCCTTGAGATGCAGTTTGAGGCTGTGTCTCTGTTCCTGCCTTGGTTGACATCAGTTTACCAACTCAAGGATGGAGTGTCGGTGATGACTAAAGCCTTCTGCCACCTCGGCGCTGTGTGTACTTGTTTGTGTAGACAGCATAGGGATAGAATAAAAAATACCCGGAGCTCTGACTGTAAACTAGAGCATCCAGCACACTGGGAGATTATTAATGTGAGAAGTAATTGCTTTTCTATTATCTGCTTATCAATAGTGCTATCTTTTCTCCATCTCATCCCTCTTTTAAAAACGGGTAAGAACAGCTTAAACATTACATGTGTTCCCACCACAGACAATAGAGCTGCCCCCATGGAGCACGAGACATCGCCAGCTTTACATGTTCCCATGTGCAGGGTCCTGGAGCAGGAGTGCCTTTCCAGACCTGACACGAGGGTTTTCAGCAAAGCTGGGAGAAAAGGAGCTTCAGTGAATTGACAAGTGTTCGGAATCTGGCCACGGTAAGGGCCTAAGCGTTCTGTGTTGGCCCGTGACGTGAGGGAAGGGTGGCATTCTGGCTTCACAGCTTCCCTGTGGGAAGCCTCAGGGCTTCATTTAAGACCGAGGTTAGTTCATAGGGTGATCGAAGCCTGATTAGCCAACAGGCTCTGTTAGTGTGGCTGAAGTGGTCCCCGCTGACTTTCTTGGTATGCTTGAGCATGTATGGAAAGCTGCACTTCTAGGGGACCAGGGATAAGGTGGTGACCATTCAGAGGTGGCAGATACAGCAGGTTTGGGCAAGGCAGTTCTATGAAGGAGACCCTGAGGGTCACGGATGAGGAGCTTGGGCCAAGAATTCTGTTCCCCAAAAGCCAGACACCCCAATTCCTCTGGGATTGGGGTGAACACCACTTAGGGACTACAGGGTAAAAATGAGAAGGCAGACTTAAGGCTCTCAAGAGAGCTGGGCAGAAAATGATAAGTCAGAGAACAGGCTGTCTGGGGGACTGAGGAGCACGCGGTGTGAGGTAGGGTAGGGTCAAGTCCTGTGAAGATCCTCTGAGGACAGAGCGTGACATAGAAAGTCATAAAGGAGGCCTTAAGGTTCTGAGAGACCCTGTATAGTGGGTTCTTGAACATCTCCTGACGCCTCCCTCTCAGAGGGACAGGATGCTGCAAAGAGATGCTGGTTGTCATGGAGCAGAGAACTATAAGGTCCAGAGGACACAGAGTGCACATGACTATGAAGGGTAAAGCAGGCTGGGTAGTGTAGGAATGGAGAAGAGCTAAAATCTGCGGAACTCCGAGGCCTTAATTCAGCCCATGCGTTGAGAACTGTGCGTTGGCCAAGGCTGATGGGATTTCCCAGCACATGGAAGCTTTGTCTCAGGGGAAGTGGGAGAGAGGTGGAGGGGAGAGGAAAGACAAGGTGGAGAAGTGGGGAACGACAGTGATGACTTTTCCACCTGTAGCCCGTGGCCAATTATCACCCATGGTACCCAGTTTCTTGACACAGGGGGTACTCAACAGAACTCTAGGCAGGAAGGACCGATGCTTCAAGCAAGGGCTGCAGCCCTGCCACCCACTCCCTAACACCTGGATCCTAGGCCAGCCAAGTCTCTTAGATAGCCTGGTGTTTCTATAACACATGTGGCTAACCAGCTCTGGGAATTGGGGCTTTATGAGCTAGGGCCGGGACCAGGAGGGATGGGTGGGCCATGATTCTTCCCGTGCTGTCTCATTTGCTGGGAATCTGGACTTTTCTGCAGTTCACTCCGTGGGGCTACCCAACTCAAAGGGCAAGAGGATCTGGGGGATGGGAAAGCTGACAGAAAGAGGAGGGAAGAGAGCTGGGTACTTACAGCAGGAAGAGATGGGCACACTGATGGCCAGGATGACCCAGGCAATATCCATCTTGCTCAAGCAGATGGTGGCTCTGTGCTGGGGCTTGTCCCCTTCAGCCACGTGGGAGATGTTGCCCACTGTTCCTGGCTTCCAGGTCCCAGCAGGGACCAGGCGGTTGAGGAAGTTGCCTGTGGCTGTGGACAGCACTGTGGAAAGGGGTCTCGGTCCCCTGTCGGTTGTTGTGGGGGAGGCCTCGTCCTTCTCCTCAACTGGAGAAACAGTGCTTTCTGAGACCCCAGAGGGCCAGGTTGGGGCCTGAGGGGTTACTGATGCTCCCTGAGGGATGCCCTGGGAAGGGACTGAGACACTGGCATCAAAGGCAGCCTGGGTGGGCCCCGTGGCAGCCGTGAAGACCCCAGAGCTGGCAGACAGGGGTCTGTCAGTGTCAGGGGTGACAGCAAGCCAAGAGTCACTGTGGCTAGGGCTGTCCTGCACGTCACCATGAGGGCGCTGAGAAGGCACTGGGGCAGGCTGTGTACTGGCAGGGACACCTGAGGCTGCTGTGGCATCCGGTTCCCCTGCTGGGCTGGTAGATGTGGGGCCACTCCCCTGGTTGGCTCTGATAAGGCCTGGCTTGTCCTTCACAGGTACCAGGGTCGTGGGAGGAACCCACAAGGTGCTTCTGGGTGCTGTGGCTGGAGACACGGTCTGGGGCTGCGGTGAAGAGGAGTAGCCCCAGAGTGGGGTCCTGGTGGTAAGAGCAGAGGGCTCTGGCCCCACGGACCCCGAAAAGTTACCCTTGTAGATCTGGAAAATTTTCCCCAGAGGACGCTTCTGCCCCAGGTGTGTTGAACTCTGATTTCGTCCCCTCTGGCCTTCCTTCCTTGCTGAGTGGCCACTGGGTACAGGTAGGATAGGACGAGATGAACCACCAGCCCCCTTCCTGGAAGAGCCTGGGGGTCTGGGGGGCCTACGAGTGGTGGCCCGTGGGGACACTGTGGGGCGGTTGGTGGCTCCTGCTGGCTTTGTTGGCAGGATGGTGGGGGCAGCATCCCCTGGGGGGCGGCCCTCTGAGTGGGAGGATGTGGTTGCCATGGCAGCTGGAGGGGAACCTGTGGGCAGAGGGCTTTCAGGATGGGGGACAGCAGCTGTCACAACAGTGGATGTGGTGTCTGTAGGAGGCTGCCTTTCTGGATGAGATGCGGTTGTTTCCATAGTAGCTGCAGCCTGCGAGGTGCGTCCATCAGGTTTGGGGTTCAGTGTCACCACGGAGGAGAGTCTGGTAGAGCTGCGAGGGGCTGTCACCATGGTGCCTGGGGGGCTGCCTGAGGGAAGGGTCTGCAAAGATTCCCTGGGAGATGGTTCCTGGACGGCGAGTACCAGTGCTTTGGTCAGTGCCAAGGTCAGGAGAAAGCCTGGAGGGGGAGAGAGAGAGAGGAGAGCGGTGAGGAACAAAGGTGTTACTCACAGCCAGGCCATCCTCACTGAGGACTCTGAGGAAGCCCTGGGGATGCAGGAAGGCTATCTGGAGCATTCCTCAGGCCACACGGGCACCCTGGCACTCTGAGCCATAAGAATTGCATGTACAGCCGGGGAACATCTCCACAGAGGAAGGGAGGAAGGATGTTACTTGTCACAAAAGACAGCAGCACCAGGTGATCCTGAGGCAACCAGACCATCCAATCCCACCCTTTCTCTAATTCCCACCAGCCCTCTGCCTCAGTACACTGTCTTGGAAGGGGAGGGGGAGCCTGGGAGGCTTGTCACTTCTATGCCACCCGCCAGCCAGAGCTGGGGAGTAGTCAAGGCCAGCCTGAACCCTGAGCCACTCAGAGACAACTAGGGGAAGGCTTGGGTGGGAGAGCTTACCAACTCCTATTCCTTTTCTTGAACAAGAACACAGTGCCAATGTCAGCCCCCTGCTCATTCAGATTTGCTTACTCCACACTTCCCTTCCTGGCACTCTAGAGTACAAACAGGGCAGACCCTCAAGTAAAGCAATGATGCCCTGGTGCCATAGGGGCAGGATGGGTAGAAGAGGGCATGGGTCCAGAGAAGGGCAATCAGCTAGCTTCTCTAACACCATAGTAGAGTCTGGGATGGAAATGCTGAAGAAAGACCATTGGCTACTGGGGGTTTGTTGTCAAGTGCTTTTCCCGTGGTTCCTCCTGTAGCTGAACTTGAAGTCCACATTGGTACTGCTTGGCCTTTCTGAGTAGAGGAGCCCTTTAAACAATACAAAGAGGGCTGGTGTAATGATGGATGCCAAAGTTTATTGAGAAAATTTAAAAGCATCAAATTCCGTGAGTTTGAAAGCCTTCCTAAATATAAATGTTTATAAAATCGCAGCACCTCCGGGCAGTGCTGGTGCACGCCTTTAATCCCAGCATTCAGGAGGCAGAGGCAGGTGGATCTCTGTGAGTTTGAGGCCAGCCTAGTCTATAGACCGAGTTCTAGGATAGGCTCCAAAGCTACACAGAGAAACCATTCTCTCTTGAAACCCTCATCCTGTCCCCCCAAAAAATCACAGCACCATGTGCCAGTAACCCTATGGGATCATTGAGATCATGGGCTGTTGTAGCACACAGGTTAGGGAGAGCTGGTCTCTGTTGCTGATGGGTGGCGGGACACTTTGAAAAAGCCTGATTCTGACTTCTTAACGCCCTTTGTCATTCTTGGACTTCTTTTCAACCCCATCTAGACCCCAGAAAGAAGTTAGAGATCTGACAACTCTGTCAGAGCCTTTCTGCATATCGCCATGCTCCAGAAGGGTAAGTGCTCACACTGGTGTTATGGGCAGGAAAGCAGCTAGCGGTGCGAGGCAGGGATTCATGGGAGTTTGGTGGAGATGGCAGGCTTTGGCTAGCCTCAAGGAAGCAGAGAGGGAGGAACCCCAGTGTGCCTGGAGCACCACGCAGTGTGTGGTGGGTTTTGGAATAACCCTTGGACCTAATATTCACAGCTAAGCCGGTACTGGGGAGGTTGGCTGGCCTCGTCTTTAACAGAGGCAACAGCCCCTACTGTCTCCAGGGCCAGTGGCCACCCTAAGCAAGCCAGTTTCCTACACTTTCATTCACAAGTCAGCCCACACACTTGCAGTATATTCTGCTCATTCAAGTCAGTCCTGTAACCACGCTAACTTTCACCCTAGCAACCGCAACCACGCTAACGTTCAACCTAGCAACTGCTTGACAGGGTGGGAAATGAAGGCCCAGGGAGGCAAGAAAACATGTGTGAAGTCACACAGTCTCAGAAGCATGTGGAACCAGGGCTGTCTCTAAAGCATATGCTTTTCCTAGTTAACTGCCACCAGCGATGCAGGGGGAGGCAGAGGCCCATCAGCTGTACGCACGGCAGAAGCAATATGCTGCATTGCTCCGATCTGTTCAGGGCTATTATCCCAGCCCCATAAACTTACACCTTGTAGCCTGCCACCATGGGGGGTGGTCACTGGTCGAGGCAACCTTTGATGTGTGAGGAGCACTTTGCTACAAGTTGGTCTCATGACCATTCAGAGCTGAACTCTATTCTTCCTCTCCTCTCAAATGCCAGAATCTCAGAATGTGACTATTTGGAGAGAGGCATTCAAAAGGGAGATTCAAATGAACAGAGGCCAATAGAATGAACCTTAACCGAATTTGACTGCTACCCTTCTAAGAAGAGATGGGTCTCCAGGGTGATACCAGGGGCATAGGCGGATCCTCTTCTGAGGGCAGAGCAGCCAGGAGGAGGCTGTCAGTCATACAAGGAGAGGTTCTCACCTCTGCTGCCACAAGAATCCAACCCTGGTACCGCTTTGATCTTGAAATCCCAGACTTCAGAAGTTTTAGGGAAATAAGTTTCTTGTGTAAGCCATTCAGAGAGTGCTATTTTGTTAAAGCAGCCAAGTACCAACATTTTGTACTAGAACCCTTCTGAAAGGGAGGAGATGGAGAGGAAGGGCATGTGGGTAAGTGGTTTACACTGGGAGATGATGTGAGGGTCAGCCAAGGGGGCTGAAATGGTTGAAACAGGGAAACCTGACCCAAGAGAAGCTGTGAGCTGATGGAAGTGCCCCAATCTTCCTGGGAGCACCCCATATCATGCGCCTGAAGGAGACTCCCCCAGACTCTCACCCCTACTTCTTGGGTGCTCATCCTATCCTCCATACCCTTTGGGTATCACAAGACTGAGTTAGGGAGGTCTTCAGTCCAGGGACTGGCAGGCCATAACTATGTCCATTTGGTGGCTGCTGCTGTTGCTGAACATTAAGTCCCTCGAGGACCGCTGAGCTGGAGCACAGAATGTATCTGGTAGTCACAGCCCTAGAGCCAAGGACATAATATTGTTTTGGCTTCAGAGTCAACAGCACAGAGTTTGGGAAGAGGCACAAGCTAACCCCAGGGACAAGCACACAGTGGGAAGGAGAGCTACCTGGCTTCCAGGAGAATGTTAGCAGATATCTAGAACTAGGCTTATGTTTCCCTGGGGTTTAAAATGGCTAGAGCAAGAAATTCCGCCGATTTCCCCACCAGGAGCCTACAGGTCAGATCACCCCAGCCAGACCCCTTGACTGGAGTTCCTGTAGAATCTAGTTGACTGTCCTGACTGCCGCTGCTCTTTGGGTACCAGGCTCCCCAGACATTTACTTCCTCCATCATGAATTTATACTTCAATCTTTGCTGCTACACATGCATAAATTTATTTCTGGGTGCCCTGGGGCTTTGGGCTTTGGTTAACATAATGAGGGGCCCTAGAGGTCACCTACACCAACCTCTTCACTGTACAGAGAGGTGACCCAGAGGTGTGGCGCGTGCAACAGCACTTGGCTGGTTGGGGAGTGTGCTCTGAATTGAAACATGCCCTGGGACTCAAAAGACTCTGGGAGCTCCTGACGCTTAGAAAACTCCCATGGCACTTCCCCTGGTTTATGCGAGTAACAGATGCTTGCTAGCAGAGAGGAGACTTTGTTGGAACCTGCTGGGGAGCTTCAGGGACTCTGGGGGTGCGCCTTTCGCCGAGGTGTGGCTTTGAATGACACACGGTCCTGCCCATCGGTTCACCAAGCTAGCTTTGGGGGGGGGAATCATTTCTTTGGCTTGCTACTGTGCCCTGAATGGGGCCACTAGGCATTTGTTTTTGTCTCCCCCGGAAAAGTCACACAACAAGGAGACAGCCTGGATCAGAGCCATTATTTTAAAAATAAAAAATTTCATTTGTATCATAAAATAGCTACAAGGGTTGAACTGTCCAGCTCCTTCAACCTTACTGTCACCTTGGGCATGGAAATGAGACAAGAGCTTACACCCTTTCTCCTTAGCACAAAGGTTAGCAAATGAAGGCTGTGACGTGTACTGTCACGGTGGATGTGCAGGGCCTTCAACCAGGGGCTCTGCTAACACATGCAAATTTTCATTCAAGGCCCTTTGTACGGGTCCACACACTCCCCCCTCCCCACAATCTGGAGTGACTGCCTCTTTACATATCATTTGCATGGATTTGCATAATAGACTCTGGAGCCTCTGATTCCAAATATGTAAGAGTCACTAAAACTAAAATCTAGCCTGACATACTTAAAATGTAGAGCCAAATTTAAAAAACGTGTCAGAGTGAGGATAAGTATGGGGGGATGGGGGACAGTGGGAGCACATAGACTGATGGGTGTCCAGATGTCACAGGAAGGCCGCCTCCTCTCTAGAATTCCCACACACATGTCATCTCCGAGGATGGAGAGGGCATCCTCCTCCTGTGTGCTTGGTTGACTGCCCACAGTCCATATTGGGCACTGGCATCTGCATCTGGCACAGGCGAGGAAGCGTCTGGAAGGGCAAACCTTTGCAGGCGCATCTGGACAGGGGTGCTCTTATTAGCTCCATGCTACAGTCGATAGAGGGAAGCCAGAGGACCTTGTTGGTAGCCACACAGCCGAGGAATGGTGAGCTGGGATTCAGCAAAGCCTGGCTCTAAGGATTACATTTCAACCACCTCCGCTTAACATGCCTTTTCTGTTGTTTTTGTCGTGGCTGAAGATGGACACCCAGAGTCTTAGGCATGTTAAATGAGCTTTATTGCTGAGCTCTCCTTCCCACCTTTAACTCCTGCTTGCCCCCTCCACTCTGCCCTCTACCGTCAAAGGCTATGATTTACCATCTTTGGGAATTCATTTTCTAGGCTGAGTTTTTTTTTTTTCTCTCTCTTACTTGGAAACTGTATGTTTAAAATCTGTATACATTGATAGTTCATACAAGCAGTGTGATTTAATTTCCTTATTTGAAGCATCTTCTTAAGTGGATTCTCCTTACACACCCAGTTGATAAAGCAGGGTATTCCACCCACTGCCTTTTTAATCCTACCTCAGGCAATCAGAGGTGTTGGAGCTATGTCCCATCACTGGCAACTTGGACGGACATACCAGGTGCCTGATGTGGCTAAGTCA